AGAAAAAATTTCTATTAGATATAATCATCTCTTATATTTATTTAGTTCTTTTTTTCGCTTTTTTTATTCTATTTTTTAGTAAAAAAAATAATTTAAATTCGACTTTGTCACACACACACACACACACACACACACACACAGGAATAAATCACAGCTAAATATGATAGCATTAACTAAATAATAATAATAATTATATCACCTAATTAATAATAATTATATCAGCTTCTTATAAACTCTTAACGATGTTCAGAATTGTTAAAGTATCAGTAACCATATAAATATATGGTTACTGTCATTCAAATGTAACGCATTATTAAACTACAGAGAGGAAATGATATTGAACGTAAAAAAGCGTGCACATGCAATTTTATTGAAAGTATATTTTATAGAAAGGATTATTTAAATATTAGCTTGCTTTGCAAGTTGTGTCATTAAATTACCATCTTGGAATTCATCGTCGCGTTTAGGTTCTTGTACAAAGATAATGAAAATACTAACAAATAATACACATAAATGACATTATGATAAAACATGCTTCACAGTACCAATTCTTTATGTCATAATAATATACAAAAAACCAATAACTATTATTTTAACTGTATTTTATATTATACGCATATTAACAATTGTAAGTAAAAAGAAAGTATCAATAGTATAGTTTTCGAATGAAAATACATGAACCAATTACACCTAGATTCACACACTGTTTTGCTCGAATGTTATTAGCTTAAGGTGTAGCCTTCGGTTTTAGTTCTTCATAACACGGTCGCAGGAAGATCTGATTTTTCTTCGCCGGATTATAGTATTCATGGCCCTGAAACATTTGTAAATTAATAACGTTACATACAGACCTTTCAAGGATTATTATACTTCAAACGATAGCGATACCTTCGACCAATCATAAGAAACAGCGTATGCGAATATCTGCCCATTGTGATTGAAACAGCAACGTGTGATGGGTTGCTCCATCGTGTCGGAAGATTTCAGCTTAGTACGTGCATCTTTGTCCCAAAATCCAAAAGTACCATCGCCGCCTACGGTCACTACGGTGCCATGTACCGGGTGGAATGCTATATCATTTACCTGTCCGCGAATTGATGAATTATTGCATTTGTCTAACAATAAAGAGATAAAAAACATAAAGCCCGTATCAGACTACAAATTAGAATTGAGAATGGATTGAAATTTGATTAAAGCAGAGTTCACTAACTTGATATTAGATTTATTCTTTTTAGATTTCTTGTACGTTCACATTTTCTCTCCCAAAAACATGGAGAAAAAGAGGATAGTTCTATAAAATATAAATAGTAATATAAATAGTAATATAAAATAAGTTCAGCTGAAAAGAGAATGGATCTATACATTTTCTTTGTTCTAATTGGTTAAATCCAATCTCAATCTTAATCTGATTAATGGCTTAACACAATCTTAATTTAATTTCATTTTAATGGAAAGTCTACAAACCGCGTAGATATCTTGATATCCATTAGCCGAGCCATTGGTCCTGTGGCACTTAAACGTAAAGTTCTCCTTTGTACTGAGATTCAGATGATGAATCGCAACGCGTCCTTCCGTGCTTCCTATTGCAAAACCGGTCGGCACTTTTTTCTTGTCTCTAAAGATCGCCACACAACGGTACTGATACTTTAGACTCAATTCGACGGGTTTATATTCACGCGGACTGGTCTCTAGATGATAAACTATTAAACCACGCCCAGCTGTTCCCACAACCGCCATAGGATAGTCCTGTGATATTATTAATATCAATAATGCTGCACGTCAGCGTAATGTATTTTATTATATGGTTTGTGCATACTTACAACATCCGAACAATAGCATCTTTCAGGCAGATTGATGATCAGTGCGGGTTTAGGACTGCGCAGATCCCAAAACTGGAAATTTTACATTGTGATAAAAGAATTAAGTAATATTAAAAAATATTTTAATAATAGTGACTAATATTTAATTATGAATTCCATCACTCATACTACACTGAATTAGTACACATTAAAGGCAGCTTTAGGCTGCTTTCTTTTTATAGTCAATACATTTAACTTTGTTAACTTCATGTATAGCAGCTTTAATATGTACCAATCTATAGTATAATACAATTAAGACAAATGATCGAATTCGCTATAAGAAAACTGATGGACTAATAAACAAACAAAAATTTGATAACTTGTAAAATATAACATAAAAATAAAATAAAATTGAAAATTGAATATTACCCTTAGTGTCTTATCCCAGGAACCAGTCATTAGACAGGAATATGTAGATGCCTTTATCCAGTGACATGTTCTAATAGGCGCATCATGAGCTGCTACTTGTACACTTTGATTTGTAGCCAAATCCCAGCACTTTGCCGTTTTGTCGCAGCCCGCCATAAATACTTTGGTTCCATCCTAACAATTATTAGATAACTTATTATAAATGTGTAATATTTAACGGTATCACTTAGTTATCCAGATAATACAAAACATTTCAGCAATATTGTATCAACTTTGTAACATAGCTACAATATTGTGAGAATGTCCATGCTATCTGGATAGTCATGTTCACCACATATAAGATTTGTTTCTTCAGCTGAACTTCTTGCATAAATCATGTTTCTTCTTTTTCATTTCACATTGGAGATAAACAGAAGAAAAATAAAGTAAAATAAAATCTTGAAAAATATTGCATACAAAGATAATAAAAAGATCTATAATAGTTGCTTTTCCTTTTCGCACAAGTGATATTAAGTCCAAAGTTATATATGAGTATTTTACACTCAGATAACATTAAAACTTACTTTAATGGCAGTTATCACAATGATAGGTTTGTAACCTCATTTTTAACATGAGTTAAAAGACTTATGCCGTTTCTACCAATGTAGATCAACTTTAATCTTGGTTTAACTTACTCTTCATCCTTTTATAATACTTAGAACTAAAGAAAGATGAAGAGTTAATTGGACCAAGATTAAAATTAAACTATATTGATAGAAACAGGTATTAGTAAAAAAAACACGCAATCTTAAACTTGGAGATTATAGATGGAGATTATAGGAAAAACTCAGTTGAATCTCACTTGTCAGAATGAAAAGGAATATGCATTCAATTGAATCACAACATCACAAATGTAAATGACTTTAAATTTTAATGTAAATGAAAAGCAATCAATATACATAACGTATACTATAATACTTTATACATTTTTGTATGTGATATTTTTTGAGAATATGATTCCTGATCTATGACCTTTACACGGCACGCTTAATCGGGTTTAATAACATCTGTAGTTATGAAATTGTCCAATCATAGCTGTTCCTCGGAAGAATGGAACGACTGTGATTGGCCAGTTTCATAACTACAGGTGTTATTAAACCTGATTAAGGGCCACTGTCACCAAGTTCAGTTAACTTAATTGGCCAGTTTGCTTCAAACAAAATGACAAATGCGATTGGTTAATTCCGATGGACTAACTGGCCAGTTAAGTTAACTGAGCTTGGTGACAGTGGCCCTAAGGGTGCCATGTAAATGTAGTCATAAACTGCAGGTATATAAATGTTAAGAATATCCCATCTATCTCAAATCTTAATAATAATATATTCAATTAATCTAATTGTATAATTGTCACAGAACTTACATCACTCCAGCACACAGCCAAGACAGGTGCTGCCATACTCTGCATGGATTTTGGTACAGTCTTGCCCGATTGCTCTACCTCCCAGCAACGAACATTACAGTCCCACGAGCCGGCCACTAGAAAGTTTTGTGATATGGATGCCGGACTGAACGCTAGGCTCGAGACCGAGTCGTCCGGCGGCGAGACAACCTCGAAGTCTTGCATTGGATTCGACGTATTCGATGTTCCTGTCCTCAGCGAGTTGCTTTGATTGAACATTCTTACTTGGTCAGATCCCACTCGTCTTTCGAAGCTCTCGCGAATTTTGCGATTTCTATTAGGAAAATATCAGCGACGATAGATTAGCTCTACGCGAATCGTCTGAAATCTCAAGCAAAATATATGTGACTGTTTACCTCTGGTTTATGTTATGCGAGAATGGACCCTCTACATCGTCCACACCCGAAAAGAATCAAATCTGAATAATTCGAATGAAAGAGGCTGGAAATATGGAGTAAACGCTCTAACTTGCTCTAGCTGGTTGGCTCTACTTAACCTAAGTTAGACTTGGTTGGACTGGATGAACTGGCTATCTGGATCTCGCCGCAGCCCGCAAGCAGTGATGCCAGATGAAGGGACAAACTCGCGCATGCGCATTAGAGCACATTCTAAGGCCGGAATCAGACTACGCATTGAATATTGGGTGCGTTCAGCAAACTCAACTGTTGCGGAGCGGATCAGTGAGCTCTCGCTGCTATTGGATAATCTAAAAGAATACACCAATAGCAGCGAGCGCTCACGGATCCGCTCCACAACAGTTGAGTCTGCTGAACGCGACCATTGAGATGGAAGATTAAAAGATTGAAATTTGACCAATCAAAACAATAGGAGCTAAAATTTCTTTGTCGTCACTGGTCAAATTTTAATCTTCAATCTTCAATCTCAATCTTCAATGCGTAGTCTGATTCCGGCTATTAATAAATCTATAAAATAATTATAAAATACACAAAGAAAATACAATTTATAATATAATATTACTACATGTACCACTTTTAAAATTACACAATAATATAAAAGATTTTATAATGATGTATTTGTGTGAATACAAGTGACTGAATTTGCTATAAATCATAATTGCAGATTGTTACAAGGCAGACCGTTTGCCTTGACAAATATTTAATTAATAGCTAATATTTTAATTATGATATAATATTATAATTAATAACGAATTAAAATTCTTACTAAAAAGAGAATTTACGTTTGCACAAAATAATGTATTTATTAGAAAACTTGAAGTTACAAAAATAAAACGCAAGAGAATTTCTTTTCGATAATTTATAACATATTATTAAGATAAAAAATACATGAATTAAGTTATTTGCATATATATTACATTAGGTTTGATAACTCTGAGCAGTACCAGAACCATAAATACGATCCCATTCGATGTAAATCTTTAAATCCGACTGAGACACACTGGGTCGCACGTTGATTAACGCCTGTTCAAAATCACTATTCGTTATGTGTCTCACTTCCTCCATTCTTATATCTTCAAGTTGACTGAAGGAAATGCTCCGGATCGGTTCCATACTCGCTTCCTTGCAGAGATTAGTCATATCGGCGCCGGAATATCCCACCGATTTCTCCGCGATTTTCATAATATCCTCGTCATTAAGATCATGATTCACCGACTTCAATAAATTATTTATTATCTGTTTGCGCGCTTCGAGCTCTGGCAAAGGAACATACAATCTCTTAACGAGACGTCTTCTCGCCGCCTCGTCCAGCTCTTGCGGTCGATTGGTTGCACCAACGATTAGAATACGATCTTCCTCAGATGTTGCTGCGCCGTCTAGCTGCACCAGAAATTCCGTTTTCAGCCTCCTGGAGGACTCGTGCTCCGTCTCCGAACGCTGCGTCAATAACGAATCGATCTCATCGATGAAGACGACGGATGGCTGGTGAACCTTGGCCACTGCGAATAACGCGCGTACCATCTTCTCGCCATCGCCGATCCACTTGGAAGTCAGGGAGCTCGCTGAAATCGAAAAAAATGTAGACTTGCTCTGCGAAGCTATGCATTTGCCGATGAGGGTCTTTCCTGTTCCGGGTGGGCCAAACAGCAAAATCCCCTTGGGCGGACGACGGAGACCCGTGAAGATGTCCGGTCTTAACATGGGGAACACTACTACCTCCTTGATGATTTTTTTTATGTACTCGAGCCCTGCGATGTCATCCCACGTTATCGTTTTACCTGAATCCATGATCTCATTTTTTATCAATTCGATCATATTTGGATCAATGTTCTTCAGTCTTTCATCCTCCATTTCTTCGTTCGCTTTACCTTGCGGCGTATTGTAACTCTGCGTCGACTCTTCGTTATCGCGTTTAAAAGGACAGATGAATTGAGAATTAACCGCCCCTCGACCACCTAAAGTCTTCTTTGGCGCTGACTTGTTCTTCTTCATCTCTTGGATGTACAATTCGTCCCTGGCGCTTCTAAAGGAGTCGAAATCGATTTTTTGTGTACTGGCGTTCTCACTGATAGTCTGTGGAGGAGCAGCTGGTTTTAATTGTAGCACATGAGGATTTATTGGTCTGTACGAGCTTTTACCATTCATATTATTATTGCTTAACTTAGGAGGCACTTTTTGCACAAATCTGTCCAAATTCTGATAGGAAGATTGACTATTTGTTTGTACTTTGGGAACATTCTGTTTGGAGGAACTTACATGCTTATTAAAATTTCTAGGAATGTTTGTGAAATACGTAGATATATTTTGTTCACTATGTGTGTTATTAGGCTTCAATGAACGTTTTTGACTTGAATTCTGACTAGAAGCTGCTTGTAACTGTGAACAGATTTTTCTATTTCTTTCTATATCTTTCTTCTTTGAGTTATTCATTAGTTTCTCTATATCCCTATCACTATAAGATCTTCCTATACAAGGTAGAGTATTGAGCTTCTGACAAGTCAAAGGTTTTATAAAATTTAATGTAGCGTCCACATCTTTTAATTCTGACTTCCACTTCAATGGATCGTTTTTTGTGTCCGATAGTTGAGATTTAATCTGTTTCCAGTAATTGTTTACTCCGTTTTTATCCTTCATCAGGCTGTGATAATCTTCAAGACCCTTTCGAAGCAGCACGGCTGCTGTATCTTCTGAATCGCTGTACAATAATAAGAAAACAAAAATGATAAATTTAATGTAATAGAAAATTATAGATGTATGTATGTATCTGGAGACACTGGTAGTATCTCCTTTACGCGAGACGAGTTGCGGGGGACCGAGATTATCGGATCTCAATAACGGCTGAACGGATTGATCTTTATGTATAGCTTAATCGATAGCTTTCATTCTGATCGTAATATACGTGTTTTTATTTTTTTATTACTTACGCTAACTTTGTTGTCATATACTTCACAGCAAGAGATTTGCGTTCAATATTTGCGACATCGAAGCAGTCCTTGTCTTTTTTTGAAAATATTAGAGTATGATAAGCAGTTAAAACATTATTTTTCTCGTCTTTCGAATTTGGTGGAATACACTGTGCATTTGCACTGACAGAATCTGTATGTTTATGCATACTTGATATACATCGATTCAAGATTGAAGCTGAGGAGAGTTAAACTGAATAACTATCAAGATATAATAATGTATCTAAAGGTAGCTTTCAGGAATTATCGTGATTTAAACATCACCACGTCTCAACAAGTTCATTTCGCGCTAAAATTGAATATCGTCTACGTATGTCAATAAACTTTGAACACCTGTTGCAACACGAAATATTGCGTATAGAGAGTACACTCCACTAATTTGACGTGTGATGGGCTGCAGTGGCAGTCCACTTGACGCTACAAACGCTTCGAAGCGTTTGAGCGACCAATCAAAACAAAGAATTTTACGAATTGACTAATCAAAGAATCCTTCGAAGAGTTTGTAGCGTCAAGTGGACCGCAGCCTATAACTTGCAAGGATTCAAAAATGCCGATATAATTTCGTTCAATTTCTGGTGTCAATTTATATACTCAAAAAAGAACCTCGTTTTCCGTTTCATTTATCCGTAAATAAACGATGTTATCATGATACGTTTAATACCTAACTTAGAACACAATGAGAAATTATTGTTATTATATTATAATAATACGAGAAAGAAATGAAGGAAAGCCTGAAAGTAAGGGTTGGTTTATAATCTAGGTTTATAATAGGCCGTAATCTATTAATTTTTTCTGTAATCTGTAAGAATTGACCAATCACAGTCAAATGAGAGGAAAATAATCGACTAAGATTGATTCTTATAGATTACAGAAAAAGTTAACAGATTATGGCCTATTATAAATCAACTTTAAGGGCGCGTTCACACCTTGACGGAAAAGCAGAAAGCGGAAAAGCAATGGCCAATCACAACTCGCGCTGGTAGTAAGTAGTACAAAAAGCCGAAATTGTTGATTACCATCGCGAGTTCTGATTGACTGCTGCTTTTCCCCTTTCTGATTTTCTGTCAAGGTATGAACGTGCTCTAAGGGTGAAATCACACGGTGCGGAAAAAGACTGCGGAATAGAGAATGCGTCATTGAAGCAACCAATCAGCGCTATTCCGAATAGCGCTGAATAGCGTTGATTGGTTGTTTCAATGACGCATTCTCTATTCCGCAGTCTTTTTCC